CTGTGTGCAATGTGTGTGGTGACTAAGTGTGATTGTGTTAATTGTCTGAATGTGACATGCATGTGTGGAGTTGTCAGGGTGTGATTGTGTATGTAAGTGGCTGGCTGAGTGTGATTGTATATGTGGCTGCATGTGAGTGTGGAGTGGTCATATCCCTAAGCAAGGCAATCCACCGTGCTGACACTAACATGCTGGTTTCACTATCAGCACACTGGCATCAGTGCATCCCATACAATTGCTTGGTCAGGGAGTACTACAGTGACAGGGAGCAAGAGGACTGTTACTCAATCTATAACATTAGACCCTGTAGTCACTGGCACACTGTTATAATGTTATTGATTTCATTGACAGACAGGGGAGAGACCATAGAGCTTTACATAAAAAATCTATGTATTTGCTAGCATTTCTGGTAGCACTTCTGCTAGCACAATGTACAGACGGAATGTATTGTTCTTTAGTATACACTTATTTTAATACACATTTATTAATAATACATGAGTATTTATATATACTGTGTGTATGCCCATTCATGTATGCATACATGCACACATATATTTTTGTTTCTGATATATAAATATATGCATATTACTACTCATATAAATTGAGTGAAACTATTTTTTAAATAAACATTTTAATACTTTTAACCATACACTCTCATGGGCACACACGCTATTTAACTAACACACACTTTCATTGACAGACACACATATTCTCACTGACAGACACATACTAACATACTCTCACTGTCACATACAAATACACTGACATACACTCACTGACACACACACACTTACTGGCAGACACACATTCTCACTAACAGACACACATTCTCAATGGCAGACACATGCATTATCACTGACAGACACACACTGACACACACTCACTCTTACTGACAGACCCACAAACACTCAATGACAGACACACACATGGATGTCCGCAGGAATTTTTCAGGGGGGGGGGGGGCATAATTGTAATGACATCCATGCTTGGCCCCTTTTTTACAACTATGGTGTCAGGAATATATGTTTGTATTCCTGACACTGTAGTGTTCCTTTAATCAAATTAAAGGAACATTCTGGTCACCATAACAACTTCAACTAAATGAAAATGCTATGAGGCAAGGAGGCCCCTGAGCGCTCTCTTTCCTTTAAGGAGTGAAACCACTCTCAAATGGTTTACCCCCAAAGGATTCCTCCAGCTCCAGATCTCCAGGCAGGGGCGGGCTGGGCCGGGGGGCAGGGAGGCAATTGCCCCCCAGGCCGCCCTAAATTCCTGTAAGGCCGGCCGCGGCGGGCCGGCCCTTTAAATACTGCAGCCGCCTGAGCGCTCTGTTAAGAGCCTCAGGCGGCTGCAGCTTCTCCCCTGTAGCGTGGCCGAGCTGCACTCCGGTCAGCGGTGGCCGGCCGGCCGGAGTGATAGGAGGGTGCACACTGAGTGTGCACTTCCTGTCAGTCCGGCCGGTTACAGGAAACAGAAACTCCTGTTCCGCGCGGAGTTTCTGTTTCCTGTTACCGACCGGACTGACAGGAAGTGCACAGTGAGTGTGCACCTTCCCATCACTCCGGCCGGCGGGCCACCGCGGACCGGAGTGCAGCTCGGCCACGCTACAGGGGAGGGGGTAAGAAGAGAGGGAGGAGG